TATTTTGTGCATTAAATTGAATGAACATGGTCTGGATAGCCCACAGACATACCATAAACATTTCTAGGACCCATAATTGGTCTCCTTTAAAACACCTCAAGCCAACCTCTGGTCCCATGCCCAACCCCCCGCCGAACAAACCTAAAACCTCCAGACTCTTTCTGACCGACTCCTTTAACAAGTGAAATAAAATCTACAAGAAGAAACTAAAAAGAGGCGAAAATTGAATGAAGTTTGGTGGAGATGAAGAGAGAGCGGTGAGATCTGAGAGATTTCTGATCTTGTGTTCAGATTTTATAGTTCAGGTGTGGTTTAGTGTGTTTAATGAACATGGAGACTGATTTTGCCCAACGTTTGAACTTGAACTCTTCTATATTTCATGTATTTTTCTCACCTGGTATCCTTGTAGAAAAGGATCTAAGATGTTTGTGAGGAAGCTGAGTGTTTTCTGTCCTCTGTCCGTCACCAGCACCTCCTGCTGGTTGATCTGCAGAGCGCCGCTCTTCACCAGCAGGTAGCAGGCTTCTTCAAAGTCCTGAAAAACCACAAACATTAAAGAAAACCAGAGGATTCACTGAACATTTCTGCGCTCAGACGCTCACCTGCACCGTAGCTCCAGGCGTCAGGATGAACTCGTTGGAGAACATGTTCCTCAGGAAGCTGAAGCTGTTGAAGACTTCGTCTGGAAAACACACATCTCAGGATTTATCTCTTAAACGTGTGTTTGTGTGAAGCCAGAACCATGAGGAGCTTCTTACGTTTACTGCTGGAGGAAGAGGTTTGGATCGCTGAGGCGAGCAGCGCCGGTCMCACGAAGACGTGAAGCGCCTGGTTCCTGTAGGAGGCGCAGGACAGGATGATGACGCTGCGATTCAACAGCTCCTCCTCTGGTGTCAGGGCAGCCTGAGGCCTCTCTGCMTCAGGTCCTGCTTCAAAACAAACAAATATCTTTCATTTTCTCTCATTTAWCTCACATTTATTTACAGAACCTGATCCAACCTGGTTCTAACGCCAGCAGAACCCGGCCCTCAGAGATCCGGACCAGACCTCGATGGAGAGAAAGACTGGAGGAAACCACCTCAGAGGGAAGCGTGTGGTCTGAGGGAGGAGAGGACACATCAGCAGCAAGAAGAGAAGAAGAGAAGAAGAGATATCTGGACCGGTACCGGGCCAGTGAAGGAAGGCTCCAAACTGCCGGAACAGGTCTCTGAGCCACACGGCTCTTTGGGTCAGCTCATCCAGAGGAGTCCCTCGTTTGTCCCCTGCAGCCTGGTTCTGCAGCAGCAGGCAGGCCAGGAGGACCCAGGGCTTCAGAACCATGTTCTCCTCCTGGGCCCGGACCAGCCTGTAGGCCGACTCGTTCACAAAGTTGTAGATTTCCTCTCCGGGCTTCCTGGGGATGTGCCTGAAAAAATAACAACTAGATCAGTGACTCAATCTGTGGGCCACAGCGCCACCTTGAGGGCCTCAAAAGAACAACAGTTTTTAACTTTGGGCCGCAGAGGGCCGTGGGACCACATTGATTTTA